TCTTCATCAACATGGGCCGTGCCTGGATTTTAAATATTTTTTGGTTTTTTCGAGTGAAATTTTTTGATTTTAAAAATTGAACAATTAAGTAAAATTGTCTTTTCATTTTTATTTTGAATAATTATAAAATTGATTTTTCATATTTAATTGAAATTTAAAATAGAATAATTAATTAAAAAAAATCCAGCTAAATTATCTTTTAAAAATTTGTATGCACTAGAATTGAGTCGGAGTGAATGCCAGTTTCAAATCGGTTCAGATGTATTTTTCTGTTTTTTAAGCCTGAATTCATCTTTAAACCGCTGATTTCAGATCAATTTTGATTCATAAAAAGTACAAGTCAATTTAAGTTTACTTTTGATTAGAACCGAACCTATATGGATTTTCTAGGACCCAATAGGTTGGCCCATGGATGCCAGAGAATGACAAAGCTTGATGGGCTTTATCCGAAGAGTTAGGAGCTAGGACCGGTTGTTGTCGTCAGGATATGCACAAAGAAACGTCCACGTTTGTCTATCTAACGCCATTTAGCTGTCAAGGACTCCGAGACTACAGAAAAGGTCCACGCGCTTTCATCAACAACTGTATTTAGCATTTATTTTAACACTTTTCCAACAGCTGCTCAGCTATCTAATTTATTTTTGGCTTTTTTTTAATTCCAAAAAATATAATTTATATTCTTTTAAGGAAGTTTTTTTTAAAATATAATTTAATAATAATATCAAATACTATGAATACTTAGCAAGTGCATTGGATTAAAATTATATTAGATTTTAAATGAATTATTGAATTTTATAGATTGGTAAGACTTTTTTTATAAATTTTGATTGACGTTGGTAGAATTACAATGATTTTTATATATTCAATCAAAATTGATTTTAGAACCTAATTAAAAATTTTTTGAACCCAATTGAAAAACTAAAAAACAATGAGAATCAAAAAAATACGTTGTCTTCTACAAAATTGTTTTCTTCTTTAGCCTACTTCTACAAAATTGTTTTCTTCTTTAGCCTACTGCCGTAAACAGTGAAAAGCCTCCAATGCCTAGCATCACCGCGGTCCCCCACCTGTAGAACAGTCACAGGGTGAATAAACGGTTAGTTCTATTTATACCGAACCGTATCAAGATCAAAAAATAAAATCAAAGGTTTTTATCAAAATCGAATTTGCTTTCTGAACTAAATCGAACTGAATCGAAAAAATATAGTCAAAGTTTTTTATCAACGGACTCTAAAGACATCTAGATTGAATACCATTGAAATTTTAAAATCTTACATAGTCCTAATCCAATACAACACTCTTGATTAGATCAAACATAGAACTTACTCTCATAATTATATAAAGCTTGTTGATATTTTAATAAATCAAAAGAATTACCCACCTCGCCCAAAAAATAGTTCATTTTTTATTTTCACACAGATTAAGAAATAGCAATTATTATAGTTCAAGACTAATTTTATTCATATAAATTTTCTATTATGTCTTTCTTAAATAACACATGATCAATTGTTATATTGAAATACTGCATCTGTCTCAAAATATAAGTCGTTTAAGGTTGTTGCACAAAGATTAAAGAAGTAATTAATTATCCTAAATTATAATAAACTCTAGGGTAATTTGATTAAATTATCATTTATTTCAAAATCAATAGTCATATGTGAAAATATTTATTGTAATTAATCTAAACAATGGTAACGTTGGAAAAAACATCATCTATTGCTCATTAAAATACTCAAAATGACTTATACTTTGGGATAAAATATCACCCAAAATGACTTATATTTTGGGACAGAGGAAGTAATAAGTAAGAATTAATGAGAGTTATTAAAAATAAGATAAAATTTAATAGAAGTATAGTAGACAATAAACTATCACGTAAAAAAAAGAAAAGTGGACTATATTTCGAGACAAACAAAAAAGAAAGATGGATCATCAAATGATAAAATTAAAATTAAAAAAGACAATATTATATTTTTCCGCTTAAAAAGATAACCTTGATAACACATAAAAATCTTATAGTAGCAATTGATACTTTAATTAATTTGGACGACAAAGTAACTTCCTTTGATCGTTTATATTTGAATTGATTTTTCAAGAACTTGTTGTATATGACGTGTAAAGATGAATTTCTGTCACTGTGAATTGATAGCATCAATAAATGAATAAGCCACACTATCAAGTTCCATTAATCGAAGACACACATTCACAAATCAATATCTAAATATACATTTATTTAGTACTAAACCCTTACAAAAAAGGGAAGCAAAAACCGTCATAGAAAATGAAAAAAAAAAAACTCTAAATATGGAGACAAAGCAACAATAAAAAATCAAAGGAAAAATATATTTGTTTGAAGAAAATATATCTAAGTTTGTTAAAAGTGAATAAAGCATCTTGAAGAGAAAAAAAAAATGAAAATAAGGTCTCCATTGATTAACATGGCAATCTCAAATTGAACTTAGAATTGTTGAACAACAGGGAAAAGAAAAGATAAAAATATCATTTTAAATTCCAAATTTCGTTGTCCTCAAATATATATATTTTTTAATTTTCAATAAGAAGGTATTTTTAATAATTTGATTGTAATCACCAAACATTACTTTAAAATTTATTTTTTAATACATATAGAAATTAACTTGAAATGAAATAGTGTTAACATATATTAACTAAAAAATGTAACATATGTAGCTTGCATTACATTATAAGGTTTTGTTTGGTGAGTCGTGGTAAAATATAATGTACAATCAAATATATTTTTAATATAATACTTACTCTAAAATTATATTTAATGAACCGTGATAAAATATAATGTATAATCAAATATATTTTTAATATAATACTTACTCTAAAATTATATTTAATGAACCGTGATAAAATATAATGTATAATCAAATATATTTTTAATATAATACTTACTCTAAAATTATATTTCAAACAATTTTAAATAACATAATAAATATAATACTTACTCTAAAATTATATTTAATGAACCGTGATAAAATATAATGTATAATCAAATATATTTTTAATATAATACTTACTCTAAAATTATATTTCATGAGCCACAGCAAAATATAATTTAATATAATTAAAGTTGTTTTTAGTGTATATACTACATAAAAACAAAATTTAAATACAACATAATAGAGAAAAATAAAAATTTTACTTATTTTATTAAATTAAATTATTTAAATGCTTCAAAATAACTAAAATCACATTTATTATTTAAAAAACAAAGTAGGCATCTCCCCTCCTTCTCAGACAGTGTAAGAGTTTTAAGTTTTAACATCATATAATATTTTTATAAGGGGTTTCTGCACTGCTCGTCACTATCTTAGATGAAGTGATAACTGGCCAATAACATGGACATGAAAGTGGCCAACTGTCAATCATAACACATTCCACGCGCTGCAGGATGAGTGTGGAAATGTAACATTTTCGTGCCGGAATAGGCGCGGAGATGCGGATGTTATCAAAAGTTAGATTGAATCGAGGAGGGATTGATTTGTGTTTTGTAATAAAGAAACAGTCATAGGTACACGCTGTGGAAGAACGAAAAAAAAAAAAACAAAAAAACAAAAAGGGTATAATAATAATTATAAAGGGTAGAGAAAATTACTATTGCCTATCCATATTATGTCAAAATTCATTAGTTGCCCTTTGCTCTTTTTTTTTTTTAAAAATATTACATAGTTTTTAATAATAGCTTCCATCAAGTGTTTAGTCCTTTTCCTAAGTTTTATATGTTATAAGGTTCATTGTATGTATGTCATTTTATTAATTTTAGACACTTTCAAAGCACTTTAGAGATACATTTAAAAATTTTGTTAGACCTTGAAATAAATTTATTAACAAAAATTTCAAAATTATTGTCTTAAAAAATATTTGTAATTATTAAGACTTAAAAAATAAAAATAAAAATATATAAAAGAATGAAAAACTTATAATCTACAATTATTAATTTATTACATATCTATTATTGTTAAATTCAAGAACTAATCCATAATGTCAATTTAAAATAAGTAATTCACATTGCTTTTATAAAAAAAGAGTCCAGAATATTGTATTACACAAACAAAAGTATGAAATATATTCGAGGATTAATTTGATCTCTTTTAAAGATATTGCAATTTCTGAAATTGTTAATTTATCTCTAAATAAGCTAGAGATATTATGGTTTTCAACGATGACGATGACGTTGATTTCGAGAATTAAACTAGTTATGTTGAAATGAGAAACTTTTATTTTTTTATATTTATTATTATAAATGATTGTTTACTCATTTAAATTATTAATAAATTATACTGTAACTTATACTAAGTATGTTGGTGTCTTATTTTTTTAAAAAATTACCACATCCCATGTCTATGCCGTGTCGTGTCGTATGTCCTGTGTCCATGTCGTAATATGTCACGTGTTCCGTGTTTGTGTCTATGCAATCTAGGTCGTCTTTCTTTTAAGTTTTAAAACGAGTTTTTTTTTTTATTTTCTGAAATCTATAATGGAGTCTGCCTCCAACAATCAATTCGATTATCTCCATACATAAAGAAGAAAATCCTTATGCTTCTTACCCATGAATTTTTCATAATTAATGGATTTATATATTACAAAAAGTAAATGGAATGCCTATTTCGTTTCTAAAATAAAACATTAAGGATTAAATAGTGTATTTCCAAAACAGTGAGGATGGACCAATGAATTTATCAAGGATTTAATAGTAATTTTTTGTAAAGTAAATAATAATGTCAAAGTAGCATGCAGACGCAGTATGAAGATGGGAAAGATGATGGCATAAAAGAAAGGCAGGCAGGCTTTAGTTTAGCGGCTCTCCTCTTCCGCCGGACTATGCGCAAAAACACCACATTTTACATTTTTACCTTAACAGGTAGGAACGACGCTAACAAAGAAAGCTACAAGTCTTTGATTAGAATAGAAAATTTAAGAATTTGATAAAAAAAAAACACACCCCAAATATCCGTAACAAAAATAATAAGAAATAAAAAAAAAAAAACAGTCATATCGTAGCCAGGGAGAATCGGTAGCAACGCGAAGAGAGAGACAGAATCAAGAGAGAGAGAGACAGAGCAGAGAGTGGCCGTTTCAACGGCCACCTCCACCTCCACCTCTACCTCATCATCAATCTTCCTTACAGAAAATTTTCCTTCTGTTAAGAATAATTCCTTTCCATTTCCAGAATTTCGTTTTCCTTTTCCTCTTTCTTAGGAAAATCAAAAAAGAAAAGAAAAGAAAATAAAAGAAAATCTTTCAAAAATTCTATTGCCTTGGCTGCATTTAGCATCGTATTTCTCTTGCCTCTATCTTTCTTTTCTTCTTTTCTTCTTTTCTTTTCTTTTTCTGCTTGCTCCGCTCTCATTGTTGACGGTGGTTTTTGCAGGCTTCAAGGTAATTTCAATTGCAATTGTTCAATATTTGAACATTTCGTTTCTTTTATATATCCAGATCGTTGAACTAGCTTACACATTTCAAATTCTCGGGAAGTTTTTTAAAATTATAAACAGATATAGATGCAGAATAATATATTCACCGCAATGCGTAGCTTGAAGTTTATAGAAGGGTGTAAAGGCACCCAGGTTTATGCCCTTAATCCTGGAGGCGGTGGCGGAATCGGCTTTGGTAGCGTTGGAGAAAAGTTTCTTCAACATCTTCAAGACCTTAGAGTCAATTCCATCCGAGCGAAATCCAATAGCCAAACATCGCTCGATAAAGCCACAAATTATCTCCCAGTTGAAAATCTACTCCCTGCTGGTCTCCCCAACACCGATCTCCTTGAGCCGCAGATCGATCCTTGCCTCAGGTATGTTGATTTTGTCGAAACCCTTGCGGAAGTATATCGTACAATTGAAAATTGTGCCCAATCCGAGAAAACCGCGGTTTACTTACAGCAATGCGCGATATTTCGGGGTTTATTGGATCCTAAAATGTTTCGGCGGAGCCTCCGTGCGGCCAGACAGCACGCTGTGGATGTACACTCAAAAATTGTGTTGGCCTCGTGGTTAAGATTCGAGAGAAGAGAAAATGAACTTATCGGTAAATTAGCCATGGATTGTTGTGGAAGAATTCTAGAATGCCCTAGGGCTTGTTTGGTATCTGGTTACGATCCTGAATCGGTAAATGATGCTTGTATGTGTTCAAGGTCTCCTAGAGGGGATTGCGATGATGGTATTTCGGTAGGAGACGGTGATAATATTTCCGTAGGAGATGAAGGATGTTCAACTTCAGACGAAGACGGTGATATGTCTTTTTGTATTGGAGATGATGAGATTAGGTGTGTGCGATACAACATTGCTTCGCTTTCAAGACCTTTTAAAGCAATGTTGTATGGTGGTTTTACAGAGTCAAGGAGGGAGAAGATAAATTTCTCTCAGAATGGGATATCCACAGAAGGAATGAGAGCTGTAGAGATATTTAGCAGGATGAAAAGATTAGACTCTTTCGATTTGCGCGTCGAATTAGAGCTTCTTTCTTTGGCAAACAAGTTTTGTTGTGAAGAAATGAAGGCAGCTTGTGATGCTCATTTGGCATCTCTGGTTTCTGAAATGGAGGATGCAGTTTTGCTAATTGAGTATGGATTGGAGGAGACTGCATATCTTTTAGTGGCTGCTTGTTTACAGGTGTTCCTGAGAGAGCTTCCAAGTTCCATGCACAATGCTCATGTGATGGAATTGTTTTGTAGTTCGGAGGGTATGGAGAGATTGGCATTGGTCGGGCATGCTTCGTTTTTGTTGTATTACTTCTTGAGCCAGGTTGCTTTGGAAGAAGACATGAAATCCAATTCAACAGTTATGCTTTTGGAAAGATTGGCAGACTGTGCGACTGAAGGTTGGCAGAAACAACTTGCTTATCACCAATTAGGTGTTGTGATGCTTGACAGGAAGGAATATAAAGATGCCCAGAATTGGTTTGCAGTGGCAGTTAAGGCAGGTCATGTTTATTCTTCAGTTGGTCTTGCAAGGGCGAGATACAAACGTGGGCACAACTATTCAGCATATAAGATGATGAATTCACTGGCTTCTAATTATAAACCAGTTGGATGGTTGTACCAGGAAAGGTCTTTGTACTGTGTTGGGAAGGAGAAGATGATGGATTTGACCACAGCAACTGAATTGGATCCAACTCTTTCCTTTCCATACAAATACAGGGCTGTTTTGTTGGTGCAGGAGAACAGACTTGGGGCAGCAATCTCAGAGCTCAACAAAATAATCAGTTTCAAGGTCTCTCCTGATTGCCTTGAATTAAGAGCTTGGATTTTTATTGCTTTGGAGGATTATGAAAGTGCTCTCAGAGATGTCCGGGCACTGTTGACTTTGGACCCAAATTACATGATGTTTCATGGGAAGATGCATGGTGATCGCTTGGTAGAACTTTTGTGTCCTCTTGTCCAGCAGTGGAGTGAGGCTGATTGCTGGATGCAACTTTATGATAGGTGGTCCTCTGTTGATGATATAGGCTCCTTAGCTGTTGTGCACCATATGTTGGCAAATGACCCAGGAAAGAGTCTTCTTCGGTTTCGGCAATCTCTCCTCCTTTTACGGTATGCATTCATATGCCTTATTAATGCCTTGCTTAGTTGCAATTATTACTCTCTTTCCACTGCAAATATATAATATGTAGTGAGATATATAAGATTTATGATATTGATGCTTTTTTAAAGAACTAAACACCCTCTACTGTTGGCGTTTGTATGCTTTTATGGAGCAAGATGCTTCAACTTGACAACATCTTGCACCTGTATAAGGATTCTTTTATGCTTGCTATTTTCATAAATATATCTTGAAAGATAGCATGTATAGCAAATGGTAAAGTTAATCATTGAAAAAGTATTCTGCAAATAACCCCTGCATTAAAATGGTGTACCATGTATGTCCATCAGAGAGAATTCACTGTGCAACCCATGGAACTGTAATTACTAAAGCTGATAGCTATAAAGTCAAAACACATGTTCCAAACCTTCCACCCCTCTTCTTCTGTCCTCTTCTCTTGCTATTTCTCATTTACTGATGAAAATTAAGTAGATGTAGAGATGGAAAGCAACTGCTAGGAGAAGATTGAAAAAATGGACATTTTTGCATATAATGCAATTGTGGGAGAGGATGTTACAAACTAAAAGCTGTGCTTGTTGCTAATTTTTCTTGCTTGATTCCATATTTGATTATTTTAAGAAAACTACCATAGATCATTCATTCAAAACGCGTTGTCCATTGCCTTGCAGAATGAAAAATTAAGCAAGGACTTCAAACTCTTGGTGTGTTGTCCAGCATCTCTTGATATTGCTATGTATATATATTCCTATTATTTATTATGAAGTCAGATAACTTCTCTTCATAAGGCTGGAACCAGGAAGGGAATAATCTTTGATGTGTGTTTGTATGCCACTATTTGGTTTTGTTTAGAAGCTCATTTGGGAGCTGTTTCATGTCAACCTTTCTTGAATTCTCATCTTCTCACCGCTATCTATATTGACAATGAGCAAATGAGGCTTTAATCAATTTTGATGAGGTCTCACCCCTTTAAAATCGTTTTCAGTTCCTCTTTATCTTTATTTCTCCATCTTCCTTATTACGTGAGATGGTGTTTGGACTAACTTTTTTTCAACTCGAGATCTTGGAAATGGTGGAGATATTTCTTAATGGAATTCATATTGAAATTCTGATGCTCAGAAATGGTAGAAAACTTATAGGTGAGAGTTTTTAATGATGAAAGTTTGTTATTGCTGAGGCAATCTTGGTAGAAAACTTGTTACTTCTGATAATTGATGGAACTTGCCCAGCATTTGAAACAATATTATTCTTAGTTTTGCTTGATAAGATTCTCGTTGTTGTTACTCACACAGAGATATATCCACAGGTCACTTTTTGAATATTATTAGAGGTTTTCTTTGTTTCTTAATGTTTGTACTTTCCTGGACCAAGTTCTCATGAATATGGACTTTTGATTATTACCCGGCAATAAAGAAAAAGGGAAAAACATGTGTGTATAATTTACCACGCATTTAATTATGTGGATTAAAGCTTCTGGACATTAAACAACATTTATCTATCTTATCCATTTCTTGGGCTTATTTATTTGTTTGTTCTTGTTTTCTTTTGTTTATAAATATAGGTTAAATTGTCAAAAAGCTGCAATGCGTAGTTTGCGGATGGCAAGAAATTATTCTACTTCTAAGCATGAAAGGCTTGTTTATGAAGGATGGATTTTGTATGATACTGGCCATCGTGAAGAAGCCCTAGCTAAGGCTGAGGAGTCCATTTCAATTCAGAGATCATTTGAAGCTTTTTTCCTGAAGGCATATGCTTTAGCAGACTCAAGTCTCGATCCTGAGTCATCACAGTATGTTATTGAACTTCTTGAGGAAGCTCTTAGATGCCCTTCAGATGGCCTGCGGAAGGGACAAGTGAGTGCCAAATTTGAAACAATCATATTATTTGGATGAAATGAATGTTGTTTGATTGGTGATATTTGCTGCTATGCAGGCACTGAATAATCTTGGGAGTGTCTATGTTGACTGTGATAAGCTGGATCTTGCGGCTGATTGTTACATGAATGCACTCAATATTAAGCATACAAGAGCACACCAGGGTCTGGCCCGTGTATATCATCTCAGAAATCAGCGGAAAGCTGCATATGATGAAATGACGAAACTGATAGAAAAAGCCAGGAATAATGCATCTGCATATGAGAAGCGTTCCGAGTACTGTGATCGTGACATGGCAAAGAGTGATCTTAGTATGGCAACACAACTAGATCCCTTGAGGACATACCCATACAGATACAGGGCAGCGGGTAAGTCCCATGATAACGATCTGATTAAGATTTTTTGTTCTTCTATAAGTCAATAATTCTATAATACTATATATCTGGCGATATGAGCTCTGCACTGAATCACTTATGCTTTTGTTGTTTAAGCTATGGAAATGTTCTGATGCTTGGCTAAGAATCCTTAGATCATGTTTTATCATTAGTTGGAACGACTGAATCAAGAAATTCAATTGTTGGATATTTCTTTTTCCTGTCAAGTTAGTTGTTGCTAACAATAAAGTCAGATTCTAGGTTAATTATTCCCTCTTGTCATGTAGAAATAATGCACAATAGATGTCGTGGATGGAATCTAATTTTAATTTGATATGAGAAAGAAAAATTTGGTATGAAGTTGGGTGCAATCAACTGAGTCGAGTCAAAATAGTGTACTACTTGGGCTTGAAACTTGAAACGTAGAAATAATGCACAATAGATGTCGTGGATGGAATCTAATTTTAATTTGATATGAGAAAGAAAAATTTGGTATGAAGTTGGGTGCAATCAACTGAGTCGAGTCAAAATAGTGTACTACTTGGGCTTGAAACTTGAAACGTAGAAATAATGCACAATAGATGTCGTGGATGGAATCTAATTTTAATTTGATATGAGAAAGAAAAATTTGGTATGAAGTTGGGTGCAATCAACTGAGTCGAGTCAAAATAGTGTACTACTTGGGCTTGAAACTTGAAACGTAGAAATAATGCACAATAGATGTCGTGGATGGAATCTAATTTTAATTTGATATGAGAAAGAAAAATTTGGTATGAAGTTGGGTGCAATCAACTGAGTCGAGTCAAAATAGTGTACTACTTGGGCTTGAAACTTGAAACGTAGAAATAATGCACAATAGATGTCGTGGATGGAATCTAATTTTAATTTGATATGAGAAAGAAAAATTTGGTATGAAGTTGGGTGCAATCAACTGAGTCGAGTCAAAATAGTGTACTACTTGGGCTTGAAACTTGAAACATTATTAATCTCCCCAACTAGTTTGGGACTCAGCTTAGTTGTAATGATTATTTATGAATCTCACATTAATTTGTGAGTAAAACTCGAATGAGCTCTTCTCAATACCAAGTCAAATTAATAAATTACTAGTTAAATATTATATATTAATATAAGATATATATTTAGAAGTATATAAAGTAAAGATACTTGATTAGGCTCATGAGTCAATTGACTCGAGTATTATAGTAATTTGAACTCAGTTTGACTTACTATTCGAGCTACTTGAGTTTCAGGTCTAATTGACTAGAACCTAATTGAATTAGAATATTTTGTGACCTGAGATTGAATATCTCACAAGAATTTTGACTCATTTACACCCCTATTATGGAGTTAGTCAAGGCTATAAGGGCGTGAAATACATAGGCTCTACTGAATATTGTGTGCCAATATGCTTGGCTTTCATGCTTACTCCATTCTTTCAATGATTATACCTGCTAGGCTGTTCACACTTCTTTTCCTGATTTTAAAGAGCTGCCGGAATTTATCTACACTAGATGAGGTGTATATTATCAGTCCATCATTCTGTAGACATTAGCTATGTGGAAGATTGAAATGCTGATGCAAGTTTAGTTGCCCATGTAAAATTAAAGCCTATACTTCTGGTATGTGACTATGAAGACCTAGCTTTTTAGTGTTTGCAGAACCAATGCTGTTTCACTGTTAGCAATAATTGTACCACTGGAAGTATGACCTGGATATTGGATATTTGTGCAATTGCCTTTTTTTATGTTAATCTTTGTGTTTGTGATGATGGATGCTGGCAACCATTGTCAGTTTTGCCCTGTTAAAGGAAATGTCAAATCAAGTATTTGCTATTTTTTCTCTTCTTTTTTCCCCAATACATATGTTAGAGAGTTGGAATTTGACTACGTAGCTTTCTCTTTATATGTGTGTGTGTGTGTGTGTGTGTGTGTGTGTGTTTGTTTATGGGTGTGTGTGTTGTGGAGAGGTGGAGTGTGACTGTGGCTTTCTCTTTGGAAGAGAAGTGTGGCTATCAACACAATATACCTTACCATGTTTGCTTCTGACTTGAATGATGGGTAACAATCTCTAATAGCTTAATAGTTATTCAACTATTGACTAGTGCTTTATGATACTTCTTTTGGTTTCTTCACTGGAATCACTAATATGATGTTTCATGAGATTGCTTTGTATATATTTTTTGACAAGATGGTTCATTTGGCTGAAAAGATCTAATGACATTAAATTAGATTCACATTTTAGTTAGTGGACAGGTTTGGATCAGTAGTGCCTGCATGTAAATATAATCTGAGCAGTAATCAAAAGTTTACTGAGTTGTCTTCGGTTCTATTTGCTAACATTCTTCAGAGCTTTCTACTTGTAATGTTCCTTTAATCTTTGATACAGAACTAAATTACGCACAGGATAGCCATTTTGTCTAGTTGCTATTTGATCTTTCAATTATTACTATTATTATTATTATTATTATTATTATTATTATTATTATTATTATTATTATGTTCATGTTTGTGTAATATATATAGCTAAAATGTGATTAGCTCTAGCAAGGGTAAATTATGCACCAAAGGAGTTTCAAGTGAGATCCTTTCTGAGAACTGGCTTATTTTATGACTCTGTAACTCTTGATCTTGTTGGATATTTCTGTGGGAAGTAAGTGTATTGGCATGGTTAACATTGTGTCAGAATAACTCAATAGTTTAAATCATGATTAAATTATACTATAACTATCTTATTTCTGTCAAACATAGAATTGTGGTTAGACTTGACAGCTGTCTTGTGTTATTAAGCCTAATGTCAGGTTGGGTTTCCAAGCATCTCCTACTTCTTGGAGGTTGGCGTTTATAGGTTATAGGATTACTTTTGTATACCTATGATCTAATAGAGTACTTGACTAGAATAGCCACTTGACTTTTAAGTTGTGACTGTTAATATTAGATCAGATTTCATCTAGAGTAAATCTTAGACTCATTGGCAGATCTATGTCTGGAACAAAACAGTCTTCTCTAGGTTAAACTTAGATTTAGTCGCACGTGACATTATTATGGCTGGACAAGAAGTTCATGGCTGCTAAGTAGTTGCAAATCTTCCTTATTTGAGCCTCAATGTCTGTTTGATTGTCTAGGAGTCCTTACATATTGAAAGTTCGTGCAAATAGATTTTTTTAATGCCAATGGTCTGGTAGAGTGCTTGACTAGAATGTCCATATGATTTTAGGAACAAGATGTCATTTCAAGTTGTACTGTTAAATCAGATTTTATTTTAGACAATCAAAATGAATCTCTCTCTCTCTTTTTTTTTTCCCTTCTTGTGAAAGAATCTTGTTAATTATTTGCATTGCATGATTGGTGTGTGTTTGCCAAGTAGGCAGGGCGTTAGTTATATTGCTTTCTGTCAGAATTTGAAATGGATTTGAAATAATATCATAAAATCAGACAAATAGAAATTTTGAATTTTAATTTTTGCCTTGCAGTAGTTAAAAAAGGAAGCTGGTCGATTCCACTAATTTGAGTTTGAATTTAGTTGGAGATAGAATATGTCTATGCTAAATTGCTAATGCTTTGAATTTCCATGATTGTGATTCAACTAATTCTGTGTTTGTTCAGTTTTAATGGATGACCACAAAGAAGATGAGGCCATATCAGAGCTCTCGAGGGCCATACTTTTCAAGCCAGATTTACAGCTACTACATCTTCGTGCAGCATTTTATGAATCAATGGGTGATAATATCTCTACCCTTCGAGATTGTGAAGCAGCCCTTTGTCTTGATCCCAATCACGGTGATACCATCGAGCTCTATAATAAAGCACGACAACGAGCTAGTGAAGAACAAAAATGAGAACAAAAACCCAATATTGGCATTATATCTCCATTATGTGGCAATTCCATGGCTGCCAACTTTCTTTTCGCTTTTGGTACAAGGATGGCCAGTGCTTGTCGAGGAAAAGTATCTTTTTGGATTTTCTTTCCAGAGATATCGAGATGCTGATGTGCCAGGGCACTTTTATAGGGAAGGAAAGAAGAATTTGAAAGTCAGTTAAAAAGAAAAAAGAAGGAAAAGGAAAGTTAGAGAGTGAGATAGCATGTAAATATATCTATTTCTAAGTTAATATTTTGAGATCATTGTATGATATAAATGCTGCAGACTGATTCTGCGGCTATTACATTTTACTTCGGTAAAAGTTAATGGAAGTACCATAGTCAAAAGAAACATGTACATGAAATGGCAGCTCATGTTAAAGTCTGTCCTTTTAGAGGTTTACATATGATTTTTTTCTTTTTCAATGCCAAGCTGTTTACAATTTATTATAACTTCTATACTGTTCTTTGAGAATTGATTTGAGCTATACAATTTTCCTACACAGCAATTACTCTTGAAAAGTTGAAATAGACCTAATTCACATGGCTCTTTATTTCTGTAATGATAATTTTTAATTTTTCTTAACAGGAATTATGTTCTTGAATTCTTACTCCAGTTCTCGATTTAGCAGTAGAAAAAGTAGGTTGAGTTAGGCTGCATTACTGTCAGCTTCATAATTATTAGAAATAACTTCTTTTTGAAGCAGAAGTAGAACTTGTCTCTTTCAATCTCTGAAAGAAGAGTCTTTTTCTGCTTCACCTGTGAACACTAGTAAAGTAGAAGAAAGGTTGTAAAGGTTTACACGAGATACATATACTTTCAACTGCTTTTATTGATAATATCATCCAACTACCTTTTATGACCTTTTCTTCATTTTTCTCAAGATCTTCGCTTCTCTTTTTTCTCCATTGACAGTCTGTTGCTCGAATGAAACTGCTTCTTATATGGATGAAGCGAGGGAAGAAGCTATGAATATAACCTGTCCTCGGAGGCTGGACTTCAATCTGCCACTCTTATCAACTCGGCGGCTTGGTGGTTTCCCTGGTACAAATTCTCGAATTGCTTTCCGGGATACGAATAATGGTATTCCATTTTGCTGGGAACAAGCTCCTGGAAAGCCGAAGAACACTGAAACAAATGATACTCCCAACGGAGATGGAGACACTCCTCGTCCAAGACTCCCACCATGCAGATGGCAGCCACAGAAGAAGGCAAGTGCAAGCGTAAATTCTATCAACATTCATGATCAAGATGATGGTTGTGATGCTGATGTTGATGACAATGACTATGATGACAACAATTTTGATGATGATGATGATGATGTGTTTTCAGAGGCTGTAGACATTTTATCCTTGACAGAAGCCATAGACATTGTCCAGAAAGCTGAAGATGATAACAGATTGGATAGGCTAAATTTAGAGAGCGTAGAATCTAGAGGCAGCCAGTCTCCGAATTTCATGATGGAGCGGTTTCTTCCTGATGCTACCGCGTTGGCTGCATCATCTGTATTATACGCGTCGTCGAAGAATTTGAACAAGAAGCTTCCTTATTTTTGCAGCAGTTATGCAGAAGAGTATAATTCACAAATAGTTGGGGGATCATATTCTTCAGAGACCTCTCATAAAGGTTGTGGCCTAGAAATTTTTTTCCCTTGGCGCATGAAACATAAGCTATGTGGTGTAAAGAGCCCTGTAAGGCAAGTCTCACCTAATGTGCAGCCCATATGGACTGCAAAACAAAAGAAACATTGTTCAACTAATAGACAGTTCAGTGATTTAAAGAAATATATTTAGTTCGTAGATTATAGTTTTAAAATTTCTCATCAAAATCAAGTATTTTTCTGTGTTTCTGGGTATTCTGAGGCAGTGATTCTTGATAGTACATCTCTTTATTAGATCATAGGGTATTTACTTTTCTTGTTTGTTATTTTAGGTACGAAAAACCTATATATGTTTGAATTAGAAAAGGTACAAAAAACTTATTATGTAAGAAAAAAGAAATGCCACATCAGTACATATTTTTTTTTACAATTATTAGATATTTCTTTTTATTCTAATGAAAAGATTGTAATAACTACAGAATGAATATGCATCGGTGCTACCAAAGGAAATGTTTGCATAACAGTGAATGTTATGATTTTCAGATTTTATATAACTTGAGGAAAAGCAAACAAAAATTACAGAAGGCTGTTGATGAAGATTTTGTATTTATTGGATAAATAATAAATGGGACCACAAGAGAGCACAAGAGCATTAGGGGATAGGGAGGGGGTTACTGTTAGGTAGAGTGCTAATTGGATCTACCTCTCAAAAATGTTAAATTGGAAAATCTTTCAAAAAAAAAAAAAAAAAACATATGATTTTTTCAGCATTTTACTTATAACTCTTGAGAGAAAAGCAAACAAAAATTTTACAGAGGCTGTGATGAAGATTTTTGTAATTTATTGGATCAAATAATAAATGGGAACCACATGAGAGGCACAAGAGCATTAGGGATTAGGGAGGGGGTATACTGTTAGGTAGAGTGCTAATGGTTCTACCTCTCAAAATGTTAAATTGGAAATTTCAAAAAAAAAAAAGAAACAACAGAGGTGGAGAATCAAAAATAAATGGAGGAGTAAATTAGAAAAAAAAAAAAAAAAAAAACAGAGGTGAGAATCAACAAATAAGGAGAGTAAATTAGAGAAAAAAATCACAAAATTATTCCTCAAGCACAAATGTTTGGACACCCATTACATTACACTTACAGTTTGCAATTATGTATGCATACTTTCTTTCTCTCCCTCCCTTCCACTGTACATCACAAATTCTTTTAATGGGAAATGATGCCTTATGTAAAAAAGACCCATTGCATGTAAGACTTTTCTTTACTTGCATATATTTCTTGAAGCTATATGTTCATCAAATTTGAAATTTGTATCACAATCTGCCTTATAGAAAAGTGCATGCACTTCTTGGTTCTTAAGATGTTTCCTTTTTCCTTTTCTTTTCTTTTCTTTTTTTAATCTTTTAATCCGAATTTGAAGGACACTTAGTACATTGCATGGAAGTGCTACAATCTTAATATACCATAATCTCTTATTAGTTTAACTAATTCTTCTATTTTGGAGGTAATCGGATAAGTTTGTCGATCTGATTTTACTTTTCAGATATATTAAATTTTTATTGAGAAATATTTATTTATTAATAAAAAATAGTTTTGCTGTAAAAACAAAAAAATAATTCTTCTATTTTTATTTACTTTTATCCTTATTTTTAAGACTGATTTCAACTCTTATGCCATATTATTGATCCATAACTAACAATTGCTCTAAACAATAATATAAAGATTCCATCTCTGCAATCTATTATAGTAATAAAGCCATTGTCTTCCTTGTCCCTTCCTACAAAAGAAGACGGAGGGTCGTTGGGCTGGACATGTCCCAAACCAAAGGGCCCAATCCATTATAAATCATCCAATAGAAAAACTTAAATTTATTTTTTGATCGTTAGAACTCCAAACGCGTGAAGCATCACTCACGTGGGAGATTTCAAAAATCTAGGGTTTTTCGGGGTCGGTGACATTGGGCAGTGTCGGGCAGCCACAAAACCTCTGCCCGTTTGTATTTCTCAGAAATCCCTTACCTCCCGCTTCTTCTAAGCATTCGAAATAGATTATATTATATAATACCCTCAAAACCCCCTGAGATTCAAAGCCTAAACACAACAATCAGTCTGTCGCTAATCCCTCACTCTGTCTTCTTCGCTTCGTTTCGCTCTTCAATAGCACAGAGACGGGGAAAGAGGGAGAGAGACCCTATTTTCGTATTTTGTAAGGTTTTGGTTTTCAAGTTTCTATCAAATTCCTAAGCTAGGTATTTCTCTAATTTTTATCTATGGCTTTGTAATTTCATTTTACAAAGAGATCTATATGTCTAGTTCATGATATCTTTGCTTTATCTGTAGTTTTGTTTTTGATGAGTGTTGCGTCTGTTGAATTTGTAATTTTGTTAGGGTTTTAGCTTTTCTGTTTCTTCTCATGCTTGAATCAAATGATTTGTTTCTTGCTTATTGCTTTATGGTTTATGGGTTTTAACTTTGCTTATTTCACCTTTTTAGCTATTTAAATGCTTAATTTTTCAAAAAAAAAAAAAAAAAAATCTAAATGCTTAACTTTTTCTTCAAAAAAAAAAAAAAAAAATCATTACCATCGTTAGGTCTGTAGTTTGGTTAGAGGAGTAGAGTGAAATTGAAGCTATATTTTTTGAAGTAAATCAATTATATTTCTATGGTTTGGCTGCCGAATTTGCAGATAGGAAAAAAAAAAAAAAAAAAAATCGTTAGGTCTTGGTGTTTGGTTAGAGGAGTAGAAAGTGAAATTGAAGTCTATATTCTTTTGAAGTAAACCAATTATATCCTATTGTTTGGTTCAATTTGCAGTAGGGAATGACTGTTGGAGGAGCATCTCCTTGGACAGAACTCTTCTGCTTCGGTTGTTTTGAAATTTTAGGAAATTCTGCAACTAGAATTAGTCTCCCAGTAACTTAGTCAGTTTTGTATTTAATTACTATGGTGACTTGATGCTGTTTTCTTCAGCCTTACAAAATTTGAATTATGAAAATTCATTTTCCATTCCTTGTTTTCTCTAATCTTGCCAAATCATCAGTTAGTTGATTCTTTGATTAAGATCTGAATCCTTTTCATAATTCTATTTATATAACAGTAAATGTGGCTTGCTACTTTATTATTTTGTAGAAATGAAGTGTTTAATTTTAGAGAATCATAGTCAATGTCTATTGGTCACATTACTTGAGATTTTAGCGCTAACTGTATACTTTTTCATGAATTCTTTAGTTCTCCAACTTGAATGTTCCTTTGTATTGATACTTTTTTGTAATGTTTGGTTAATTTTACTATTAGTTTTGTCATTTATAGGGTTTTGGGTGTTTCTTTTATTAGAGTGTTGACAGGAAATGGCTATGGAGATCACTCAGATTCTGTTGTCTGCTCAATCACCGGATGCAAAAATCAGAAATGAGGCAGAGGTTAATCTCAGGCAGTTTCAAGAGCAAAACTTACCTCTTTTCCTTCTGTCCCTGTCAGTTGAGCTTGCAAACAATGAAAAGCCTAATGAATCGCGTCGGTTGGCTGGTATTGTCCTTAAGAACTCTTTGGATGCAAAGGATGCCTCAAGAAAGGAACATCTTGTACAACAGTGGATGACAATTGAAATTTCTATTAAATCTCAGATCAAAGATCTGCTAATGAGAACGCTTGCCTCATCTGTACAAGAAGCAAGACATACATCTTCACAAGTAATTGCCAAAGTTGCTTCCATTGAGATTCCACGGAAGCAGTGGCCAGAGCTAATTGGATTATTGCTTAACAATATGACTCAGCAAGATAGTCCTGCAGCACTAAAGCAGGCAACCCTTGAGACTCTTGGATATGTTTGTGAGGAGATATCCCATCAGGATCTTGTGCAAGATGAAGTGAACTCTGTTCTAACTGCTGTTGTCCAAGGCATGAACCTCGCTCAACATGGCCCTGAAATCCGCCTTGCCGCAACAAAGGCTTTGTGTAATGCCTTGGATTTTGCACAGACCAATTTTGAAAATGAGATGGAGAGAAATTATATCATGAAGGTGGTCTGTGAGACTGCCTTGTCCAAAGAGGTGGAGATCAGACAGGCTGCTTTTGAGTGTCTTGTTTCGATAGCATCAACATATTATGCTGTGCTTGAACCTTATATTGAGACTCTATTTCAACTTACATCAAATGCGGTAAAGGGAGATGAAGAGACAGTTGGCCTCCAAGCAATTGAGTTCTGGAGTTCTATATGTGATGAAGAGATAGAGCTTCAAGAATATGGGAGTTCTGAAACTGGTGATTCTGAACCTGTTCATTCTCGTTTTATAGAAAAGGCCCTCCCATCTCTTGTTCCTATGTTGCTGGAAACATTATTGAAGCAGGAAGAGGATCAAGATCAGGATGATACCGTCTGGAATATATCCATGGCAGGTGGGACATGTCTAGGTCTTGTTGCTAGAACTGTTGGAAACGCAGTTGTGCAGCTTGTAATGCCTTTTGTAGAAGCTAACATTGTTAAGCCAGAATGGCGTTGTCGTGAGGCAGCTACATATGCATTTGGATCAATTCTTGAAGGCCCAACTGTTGATGTGCTGACCCCACTTGTTAATGCTGGCTTGGATTTTCTGCTTAATGCTATGAGGGACGGAAATAATCATGTCAAGGACACAACTGCGTGGACTCTCAGTCGAATATTTGAGTTGTTGCACTGTCCTGCTAATGGTTTTTCTGTGATCTCTCCTGAGAACCTCCATCGGATTGTGGCAGTTTTACTTGAAAGTATCAATGATGCTCCACATGTAGCTGAGAAGGTTTGTGGGGCAATTTATTACCTTGCCCAGGGATATGAGGATGCAGGGAGTAGTTCCTCACTACTTACGCCATGCCTTGCTGGCATCATCTCTCAACTTCTTAAAACTGCTGAGCGTACAGATGGAAGTGACTCAAAGCTCAGGTCTTCTGCGTATGAAACCTTGAATGAGGTCATCAGGTCTTGTAATATCGCTGAAACGTCTCAAATAATTACAGAGCTGCTACCAGTCATCATGAATAAACTGGGGCAGACTCTAGACCTTCAGATTGTATCTTCTGATGACAGGGAGAAGCAAGGAGATTTACAAGCTTCCCTCTGTGGTGTTCTTCAAGTCATTATCCAGAAACTTAGCAGTACTGATGAGACCAAGCCCATTATACTCCAAGCTGCAGATCCTATTATGATACTGTTCCTCAGAGTGTTTGCTTGCCGTAGCTCTACTGTGCACGAGGAAGCAATGCTTGCAATCGGTGCTCTGGCTTATGCATCTGGACCAGAGTTCGGCAAGTATATGCCAGAGTTATACAAGTATTTGGAGATGGGATTGCAGAATTTTGAAGAGTACCAGGTTTGTGCCATCACAGTTGGTGTGGTTGGTGACATTTGTCGTGCAATGGATGACAAGATTTTGCCTTACTGTGATGGGATCATGAGCCACCTTATATGTGATCTCCAAAGTGCTGAACTACACCGGTCTGTCAAGCCTGCCATATTCTCCTGTTTCGGGGACATTGCTCTTGCGATAGGGGATCAATTCTTGAAGTACATTGATTCTGCAATTATGATGATGCAGAGTGCAGCCCAGATTTGTGCCCAGATGGATACTGATGATGAGGAGTTGATGGAATATGGCAACCAGCTCAAGCGGAGCATCTTTGAAGCTTATTCTGGTATTCTTCAGGGATTTAAAAATTCCAAACCGGAAGTGATGATGCCACATGCTGGGCATCTTTTGCGGTTCATAGAAGTAATTTTCAGAGAGAGTCAAAGGTATGTTTCCCTTTTTCCTGTCCTCCTTGTGCACCCTTTATATCATTTACTGACAATTAAATATGTTAGTTATTCATTTGTTCTCTGTCCATGTTTTGCAGAGACGAGAGTGTGACAAAAGCTGCAGTTGCAGTGATGGGTGATCTGGCTGATGCACTTGGTTCCAACACAAAGATTTTGTTTAGAGACAACACCTTCTATGTTGATTTTCTTGGCGAGTGTCTTCAATCTGATGATGAGCAGCTCAAGGAGACTGCAAATTGGACACAGGTGATGATTGCACGCGTTATGGTTTCATAAAATGTAGCTAGATTTGTCAGTGAGTCAAATAGTTGTCATTAGTGGTCTTGTTAGCTTAAAAGGAACATTTGTCTTTTGCTCTTTTCTCTTTTTAGTCTCGGGTGAAAAGTGTCAAGGGCCCAGAAAGAATAGAGCACTGTGCATCCCTGTCTTTTGTAATGTGAATGTGAATCATAATGATTTTCTTTTAGTCCACACTCTCTATGGGATGGGAGAGAATCTTTTGAAGTGCTTTGTGGAACTCTGCCACTGATCGGTGGTGTATTAGGGCATTTTATTTATTTGTTACTTTTTTTTTTCATCCATGTAAATGGTTCTAGTCGTACTTAAGTGTTGCTGCTTTTGTTCGAGTTTTCACTTTGCTTGATCTTCTGGTGCTGTTTTGCATTTTCAGTCAAGTGTTTTTTTTTTTTTTTCTTTTCCTCAGTATGAATGCTAGATAGTATGGCTTTATATTAAAGTTGAATTGTAAGTTCCGAGGATTTCAGAAACAAATGATAGCCTAATCAATGGGAGAACTATCATTGGAACAATTTGATGCAGCGCAGTTAATAACAACTGCAGAAATGTGATTGTTATGACCTTTCCTCCGTTCCCCATATTAAAAGTCCACTCAAAGGTTTATATCTCCAAATCTGATATAAATGATACTGGTTCTTTTTTATAATTTTTGTCACATTTGAAATTTTACATTTTTTAAGAAAATCATTAAATGCGTTGATTTATGTGTTTGGAACCTTGTTTAGTTGCAATGTTGAAGTATATTAATTTAATATTTCATTAAATATTCAATTTAAATAGAAAATATTAATATTAATGTTAATATGCTATTTTGGAATTTGAAATAACAATATAAATATATAATAAGCATTTTCGCTATTTCAAACTAATAATCTAAATTTCGAAAGGTATGATGATAATTCTAGTTTGAATGAGAACTTTTCTTTTTTTTTTTTTTTTTTTTTTTAAGCATTTTCGTTATTTCAAACTAATAATCCTAAATTTCGAAAGGTATGATGATAATTCTAGTTTGAATGAGAAACTTTTCTTTTTTTTTTTTTTTTTATTTTTTTTTTTTTTTTTTTTTTTTATGTACATTTTTTGTCAAATGTGTTTGTTGGAATAATTAAGTCAAATATAGAGGAAATAATTAAAATTAAACTTTTCTTCTTTCTTTCCATTTTAATAGTAACAAATAGACATTTTATCTAATTTTACTTTAAGTGCTCATTTAGGATTTTAAGATTATATTAATTATTTTTCTTAACTTTACCTATATTCATTAGGTGTAATTTATTTTAATATTTACATTTAAGAAGGGCAATTTAGATATTGTATTATATTTTTTAAAAAATCAATGAATTTCAATCATTTTTTAAATTTTTGTGAAAAGACTAAATGTTGCTATTGAAGACGAAGAGAGTATGTTGTTGAAATCAGTTTTACATAAAATTTTATTCGAATTTATGAATTAATGATTCTAGTATTACACCCCAATTTGGGAAATATATAGGGCGTGACGAAAAAAGATCATTTTTATTTTTTAAAAATAAAAGAGACTGTAATTTCAAAATACCGAAAAGGAAGGATGGATTGCTAATTTGGAAATTGTATTTTAGGGCTCAATGCATCTCTTGTAATAGTTGACCAGCAATTAATTATAGAAATTGATATTTGTGGTTTGGGCCATTTTATCTCCAATTTTGACTTTTAAGAGAAAATGAAAGACTAAATACGGTTGCGCTAAGTAAATTTCTTTGGACGTATGAAAATTGATATTTGCAGTTTCTTTTGATCCATGTCTTTAAATTTATATCCTTTTAGAGATTTCTATCAAGCCGATTTGAAAATAAAGAGATAGATAGCATTTGAATTAGAGGTGAAGTTCATGTCTTGATATGAAGCAAATTGAAATGAAATTCTGCTGTTTTTGGCCTCTCTTAGAGTTTTTTATATTTCTTAAATCATCATAAGATAATTATTAATTTGATACTTAAATAATAATAAGGACCCACCAAATATACAGTGCCAATGCCAATAGTCCTGTATAAATGAACAATCATAAACTTTTATCAAAGCTTTCCTATTGAGGGATTTAGATATCAGCAACTTAATTAATGATTAACCTTTCCTTTTTTTTTTTTTTTCCAAATATAAATCATTCGTTCTTAATTAATAAGAATTCCTGTAAAAATTACCACAAAGAATTATCATCAAATCAATTTATAGAATATTTGAACTTACAGTAATTACAAATTGTTTACTATTCAATAATAGTAATTAATATATTTTCAATTCACGTAATGCGCGGGTGTTCACCTAATTAATAATATTTTAATTAAAACTTTTACATTTGTGTAAAAATAAAATATGGTTTGAGAAAATTATTTCAGGAAAAAACTAAGAATATGAGTTTGGTGTTTATGTATAAAAATTTTTTAATTAAAAAAATTAGTAATCAAATTTCAAGTTCTCCTAATTTGTAATAAGTACAATAAAATAAAAATAAATAAAATAATGAGATTTCTTGTTTTCCAATGATCTTTTCTTATCCTGAAAATATAATATATGTGTAGCTAATGTGAACAACAAATTAACATGCAAGTGTATAATTAGAAGCTAAAACCCTATGTTGTACTATTATACATATCCCAATTAAGCGGAACCAAAAAAAAAAAAAAAAAAAAGTAATTACTATAAAAAAACTAATAAAAGAAAATCAAGAACTATACTAAAATTACAAAATTACTATCTGCCTGTGCCTGCATCTATAGAACTGGTAGACAAGTACGTACAAGATATGCTTGTCAGTTCACAAGAACTAACTTGCAATAATCTTGCAGTTTTCCTTTCACTTATTCTATTAAAATCAACGGAACCCCAATCTTCTATTAAAGGAAGTCTCTCTTCTCTATTAAGATACCTTACAACTTGTCTGGTACTAGGTCTAGATTCCACTTTCTGATGAGAACAAAGAAGACCCAGTTTCAAAACCAATTCTATTTCTTCAATCACATAATTAAAATCCAACTTTAGATCAACCACATCAAGAATTCTCCCCATTTGTTGGCTTTCTAATACCCAATCTGCCAATATAAATTGGTTTGACCCAATAGGTCTTCGACCTGTAACCACTTCAAGAAGAAGAATCCCATAAGCAAACACATCTGAACTTGTTGAAGCCTTACCGGTTCTTGCCAATTCAGGCGCTATATACCCAACTGTTCCTACAACTTCCGTTGTGTGTGAGTTTACGCCATGGTCGTATAATCTTGCAAGACCAAAATCCCCTAATCTTCCATTCATTTCTCCATCTATTAACACATTACTGGACTTAATATCCCTGTGTATCACTATTTGCTCCCATTCTTCATGTAAATACAAAAGCCCAGCAGCAATGCCTTTGACAATGTTGAACCTTTGTTCCCAACTTAAAACGACATCGCTTTTACGGTTAAACAAAAGGGACTCGAGGCTTCCATTGGGAATGTAGTCATATACAAGAAGCAAATCATTTTTCTTCTTGCACCATCCTTGAAGATTAACTAAATGCTTATGCCTTAATCGTCCGAGGCTTTCAATTTCTGCTGCAAATTCTTTCAGTCCGTGAAATGAATTTCTGGTGATTTTCTTTACAGCAACTTCATTTCCTGTGCTATGCATCACTGCTTTATAAACAATACCAAATCCTCCAGCCCCAATTATCTCACTGTCTTTAAACCCTTTAGTTGCTGCATGCAAATCACTATAGCGAAATCTATGAGGACACTCCAATTCCCAATCCTCAAGATTCTCAAACCCACCAATTCTTCTCTTGTAAACCGTTATGAAAAACAGAATCCCAAATAGAAGAACTGTCACAAAGCATAAGGCCACGATAAGTGCAATAAGAGCAAGCTGGAAAGATTTGGAATCTTTGTCGACTGGGGGAATCGGAATCAGAGAAAGATTCAGTTCAGGTGGTGCTCCTGTTGTCGAAAAACTCCAACCCAAAATATAATGAGAGCTTGCTTTATAATCCCCTGTGGAAGCAGAAAAACCCACATACATTTCCTCCTTAACATATTTAGTTAGATCAAGAGGATAGGCAATGAGCGGTGTACGTGGCTTTGGTAGCCACATCGGACATATTGTTACTTTTATAGTTGTATTTAGGGCGTCGTACTCTATCCAAGCTTGAATAGGTTTGCCTTCATGTAAATCTAAATCTTCTTGTTTCATCGTGTCGTTTATAGTGTAACCAGCTGATCTGGATGCGTCTGATGACATGCCGTTAATGTTGATTCCGACATGGTTTCCGTCTCTATCTGTAATTTCTCTGTGTCCATTGACTGTATCAAATTCGACTGCGAGAATATGGTTTGAGCTTTTCCCGTCGTTGGACTCATTGAAAAGACCGAGATAATGACCGGGGGAAGCTCCGGCGATTTCGTGTGTCGGAGAGAGGGTGAAGGCGAGGCCGAAGCCACCTTGGCGGCCGGAAGCCGGAGGAACTATTGAGAAAATAAAAGATGTGTTGAAAGAAGAAGCGTTTGGTGATGTTTGAGTAAACATTTGTATTGGTTTGTGATAGAATGCATGTCCTATGGCATTTGCTGTTTTGTTAGTTAGCCTCAAAGCACCAGTAGGCTTGAAAATGGAAGCCCTATCAAGAAGAAGATCATTATCTTTTCCAATGAACCCATTGAAAATGAATTCATCGGATTGAGCTTGATTACTAACAGAATACAAGAAAAGTATTAGCAAAGGTAAAGAGATGATAGGCAAGGCCATATGGGATTTTTGGTTATTAACTATTAACGGAGGAAAGGCTTTTTAAATTATAGAAATAGGGTTCAATAACAATGGTAGGCACTAGGCATATTCAACCTAAAAAAGAAGTGAAGAGGCCAAGACTTGAAATTGTCAAAGTCTAGAGCAATGCTTTGTGGACCTCATTAGCCAAGTGGTTGAGAGAAAGTGACTAGCTATGTCTCCGTTAGGATTAGACTAGACTTCGTAAATATTTTTTTTCTTTTTCAATAACATTTATTAAATTCAATTATTTATAATTTTTTTTATAGATATGACTTAAAATTCGAGACCTCTCACTTTTCATTATTCTAGATATTAGAAGACTAACGGAACCACATCTTATTATTGACATAAATAATTTAATTTTTAATGTAGTGCAATTTATTGAACGAAAAAAAGACTTTGTCAAGCCATATCTAGAAGACTAACGCCACATCTTATTAACATAAATAATTTAATTTTTAATGTAGTGCTGATTAAAATTCAATTATTTATAATTTTTTTACTAGCATATGACTTAAATTGAGAACATATTCACTTTTCATTATTCATAAATAATTTAATTTTTAATGTAGTGCAATTTATTGAACGAAAAAAAGACTTTGTCAAGCCATATCTAGAAGACTAACGCCACATCTTATTAACATAAATAATTTAATTTTTAATGTAGTGCAATTTATTGAACGAAAAAAAGACTTTGTCAAGCCATATCTAGAAGACTAACGCCACATCTTATTAACATAAATAATTTAATTTTTAATGTAGTGCAATTTATTGAAAGAAAAAGACTTTGTCAAGCCAGTGTATTAACTCACTCGTATACCAAGTTAATATGATAAAAGCATTTAACACAAATCGGTATTGATGTATTTTTTTTTCATTGAAAAAAAAAAAGATAAAGTATTATTTAGTCCCCAATGTTTGACCTAATTCACTATTTCATCCCTCTATTTTGGTAAACCTAATAAATAGTCTCCGAGATTTGATTTCATCAAACTATATAGTCTTTCGGTTAAAAATATAGCAATTTAACAGTTAAATATTAATAAAAACACAAAAATATCCTATTAAATGTTAGTGATTGTTTCACTTTTTCAATAATTTATTGAAATTTAGATATTTCTTAAAGGGACATGAAAACCAAATGTGATAAATATTTAGAATCGGTGGGAGTAATATAGTGTAGTAACATTTTAAAAAGCGTTTTCAAGGAATACTCTAAATACATGAAAACCCACTTATGGACCGAACAAATGAGGTAAAAAATTTTCTAAAAAGTGTTTCGATTTTATTTTAATTTTCTAAATATATAGTCAAAAATACTCTCATTTCAATAAAAATTATTAATTATATTAATTTGTTCTATAAATATAGCTATGCATCCTATTTAGATAAATTTTTTCCATACATTAATAGTGCATGCAAAAAATTGTCCTTTTCGAATGTAGAGTTGATGCCGTGTAATGACGGTTTTGACTTTTCTGGTCTTTCAAGGCTTTTAATATTTGGCTTGTAACGTCCTCAAAAGCCCCTCAAAAAGTCTCAGATGGAAGGAAGGAAGGAATGAAGGAAGGAAGAATGAGTTGTGTAGCAATAATTGACTTGTACAATATAGTTAGGTTAGGTTACTACAAAATAGACCCCTATGAGTTTTTAGATGCTTCCAATGATTATTATGAACTGATTAAGCTATTAGTTCTGAATAAAAATATTTAAGTATGATGACTCTTCTACCAGTTCTTAAACCGTATCTATTTATTATTTAATTTTTGACGTAATGCAGTCATTATATGATCATTAATTAGGAGGGTGCTCGCAACTTTTCTCTGCCCTTTGCCTTGACTGATAAGGGTTTATTGTTTTTATACTTTTCTCTTGCCTTTGACTCGGGTTTATTTTTTTTTACACGTAACAAGCGCCATCGATTGGAATAACATTTTATCTTATACGAGACCTCCCCGTGAATGACATTTACCAATGTTTGTTTGTGATAAAGAGATTTAAATTTGAAATTTCTCACTTTTTATATTTTCTATGAGAGATAAGAAGATAAATAAGATCACACCTGATTGACGAAAATAATAGTTTATTAAATTTTTTAAACTTTGATATATATTTTTTCAAGAATTGACTTCATTGAAATTTCTATTTTTGTTTTCAGTTATATATTTTCAGTTATATATATATATATATATATATAATATATATATATATATATATATATATATACTATATATATATTGCTAATTATGAATACTATAATACTATAATTGGATGTTAATTACTCTATCTGTTCCATTTTATTTTCATAGTTTGACAAAACATGCATATTAAGAATTTAGTCAATAAAAGTTATTTTTACCCTTAATTTATTGAAGATATTAATAAAAGCCTCTCATTTAATAAATGTAATTATGGAAAAAAATAATTATTTATATATCTAAATTTAGAAATTTTTAAATATTTTAAAATATTCAAAAAATAAATAAAAAGCAAACAAAATGAAACGGAATAATTATTAAAGTTGACTTGCATGTGTTGGAGGAACCTTTTGCTATGGTTTCAGATTTTTGCTCAAACTGTACGTTGGCGCTGGTCTCGGATAGTTAGTTGTTAATCTGGGTATAAAGGCCCCTCCTTTTAGGTAAAAATGAAAAAATAAATAAGGGAGCAATATTAATTATTACACCAGTATGCTACAGAGGATAATGTCAATTTTAAGTTATTGAAAGTAAAGTTACTCCGAGGTTTTAAATTCTAGAATCTGACTGTTTTCGGATATTTTTGCTAAAAATCAATTCCAATCCGAATATAAAGACAAATATAAACCCAAAAGACACAAAAAAAAAAAAAAAAAAAAAAAAAAAAAAAAAAAAAAAAAAAATTAGTTTGTATTCTACTAAAATATTCAAAAGATATTAAGATAAAGGACCTATTCTCACTTTTTTTTTGGGAATTCCTTCATTTTAAGCGAAATGGGCCAGCCCATAGTTTCTAACCTTAATGGGCCCGCATACCGTTCTAGCATCGCACGTCAACAGAACACAGGACAACGAAAATAAATGGGCCAATTAGTTTTTCGAGCTTCCCTCCCTTTTTTTGTACCCAAAAAAAAAAAAACAAAAAAAAAAAAAAAAAACAAGCGGATAAGGTCGTTTTTGTATAAACAATGTCGTTTTTCAGTTGTTTTTTGCGATCAATGTTTCCTTGATGCCAGCTTTGGGCGTATTTATTTACTTAGAGTACATGAATGCATCTAAGGCCTAAGTTCCACTATTCCATACATATTTATATAACTCCTCAATTGGTCGCCGATGATATATTATTTTATATTATATATTTTTTTAATTATATTTAAAAATCATATATTAATTGAGGTGCTTTATTAATTTACATATTGTTGTAATTAGTTTTGAATATAAGATTGGAGTCTCCCTTTTCCAACGTTAACAGAAAAAACAACTAATAGGCAAGAAAAAGATCCCATTTTGTGGGCACGTAGTAGGCAAGAAAAAGTCAGTAAGACAGTCATGAGTGATTAAATATCTTCTAACTCAGTTTGGATTTATATGCAGTAGAAGGGAATGTTTATAATTGGTTGGTAAAGACGTTGATGACTCAACCACTCTTAATTTCAAATATTTGATTAAAAAAATTTACGTCTTCCTATTAAAGAACTACACATTCCATAACATATAATTAATTTTTGTTTAAGAACCATAATAACATATTATTTTATTGCAAAGTAAAGATTTTTAAGGTTCTCCTAAAATATTGACGGATGCGTTATATATGGGTCATCCTTCATTTTTTAATATATATATATAAATGATACGATTGTAAATCAAGTCAAGCTGAGATTTAAAATGTTGAAGTTGAATTTGCAAAGTTGCAAATCTAATATAAGTTGGAGCTCGATTTATTTGAAATTGGTCTTTTATATAAACAACTGAGATCGTGCTTGCTTCATTTGTTACAACCTGTTTTCAGAGACCGGATCAGCATTAGGTTTGGGTAAGCATACAGCCTCTAAAGCATGTAGTAAATCGATTATCCAATCAATATCATCCATGTGACATGTTATGAGCCCCGTTCCAGCATCATCTACTCCAACTGAAGTTCGGGGTGAAGCCACCCTACTAATAATCTATTTCAGTATCATCTGCATCATGTTTCTTGTTTACGTTAGCTCGAGTTCAACTTGGTAATAAGAGCTCAAGTTCGAGCACGATAGAGATATAATTATGGCATTTTTTAGGCCTCTTATTTATTATTATGATATTAAATATAATTTATACCATTATATACCTTTTCTATCTAATTATCATGATTAAAAAGAAGCATAATTTGTATGTAAAACTGTTTTGAGAAAAACTGCTTTTTTGATATCTGAAAACTTCTTTCTCTGGAAACGAATGCCAACTTCTATAAATAAAGACAGCTCGATAATATAAGTTAAATAAATAGTCACGTATATAATTAGCAACAGCCAAACAAGCAAATCCGTTTCAGCGATCTAAACAATGTCGTCTCATATTCAGTACTAATTTTTTTATATATATATAGGACGGCGAAAGTAATTAGTTAATGATCAATACTTTAAAAATTTGTTAGTAATATATAGTTAGAATAATATATTTCATAATCTATAAAGAATAGCTGAAATGATAAAGTGAACTTGAATTCCGTAAAAAGGACAGTTACGAACTTTAAAATAAAATTAATCTTATACTCCAAAAAGTATTGAAATATTATATTCTAATTTTAATAAGAAATAAAATTAGTTAAAAACAATTCTAGCTTTTTAATCATGCACTTGTATATATTTTTTAAAATTTTTATTTTGTTATATTTTAATATTTTTATCTTTATAATTTAAAACAAATCATGTTTTGCTCTATTTAGTAAAACATCTATGTCCTTCATTCACAATCGCAATTATTACACAACACAAAAGGTTTAAAACAGCGAACACGTTTCCTTAAGTTGCGTCGAACTCTTAGCTTTCAGTTACATTATTGTTACTATATATATATATATATATACACACACACACACACCCATATATATAAACATTAATTTTTACGGTTTTCACAATCTAATTTTTATATACTTGCCACGTTAATCATCTCTTTTCAATCAAAGATAAATTATATATGTCGAAATTAGTAAATCCATGAAATAATTTTCTAATAATTTTATCAAAATATATTACTTGGTTAATATTATTATTGTTGTTTATAGTTAAGAGTATTCTCAAGACGATTTACGTACTAACATAAACAATTTAAAATATTAATGATTTTTTAATTCTTTTTTTTATTTCTTTTAAGTATAAAACTAATTTTATTTATGAGTTTTTGAGTATCCCTCCAAAAAATATATTTTTTTTTATAGATTGAACTCTTAATTTTATAACGACCATTTGTTGAACTAAATTATATATGTTAACTTAAATCACTTCTTATGGGTAATTATTTTTTGTTTTTTAGTAATATATAATAAAACTATGAATTAGGAAAATCATATCCTTAATAATTTTGACATTTTACAGATCATTTTAATGGTCATGATGAAGATGGTGACAAGTATGCACGTGGCACTTATAATACAAGAAAACAATGTAGAAGAGCATATTACCTTTTACCAGACAAAAAAATGGTAAGCGTTGAAGTCCTAATTACTTGCTTGACCTACGTGTGATGTATCCATGTAGACCCCATGAAATTTACATGTATACTTAATTAAAAAGCTATAAACAAGTCTTTATATGAATTTGATTTCTTCTTAATAAAAAAATAATATTGATAACAACAAGATTCTTCATGTGGAGATCTAATTTGTTTGATCAATAAATTTCAATTACCCTCCCAAAAAAATTGTTAGTTTCAATAATAATAATTAGGGTTTCAAGATTAATAATTGTGATTTTCCTTGTCATTGTATAAATGGGTCACATTCAATGTCAAGTCAATGTCCCTTCAATTGATTTTAATATTGGTCTTCCTTGAGAACTCTAAAGTGAAAGGTAATCTCATTAAATAGACATTTAAATAATTTATCATAATAGCATGATTGAGAATATAAATTATAAAAATTGTAGGCATGCAATAATGAAAAGGAGCTATTTTTTATATATTTTTTATTATTTAATTTATTGGAAGGTAATTAAATAAAATATATAAATTTACCCTCATATTTTTATATACGGCACCTTCAGTTTTGTTTCTCTTTTACGAAGGAATCAAATTAGAAATTTCATTAAGAGAAAACTGTATATAGACATGAGATATAAATCAATATGTTTTTATATTTTGGTTTAGGAATTCTAATAATAAACCATTTATATAAAGAATAAAAAAAAAACATAATCTTGATATGAAGTATCTGATCGAGTTGATAGAGCATAATATTTGTGTCATAGGCGATTATTTAATCCATTTGGTGATTATTTATGACCACTGTTTGACGTCATAGTATTTCTATAATTCCCATCTCATTATCGTCAAATTTCTTCGTTATATTGAAGAGGAGATCTACACTTTTTTCTATATAACTATTCAAATAATGAAAGACGCTAAACAAAATAACCATAACGATGATAATAATAACTGAGAATTATATTTGAGAATAAAATTTCAATATTTGAACGACAATAACACATACATGTATATAAATCTAAGGATAATATGCAAAAAAAAAAAAAAAAAAAAAAAAGAAGAGGAGATCTACACTTTTTTTTCTATATAACTATCAAATAATGAATATGACCGCTAACAAAAAATAACCATTAACGATGATAAATAATAACTTGAGAATTAACTAATTTGAGAATAACAATTTCAATATTTGAAACGACAATAAACACAATAACATGTAATATAAAATCTAAAGGATAAAATATGCAAAAAAAAAAAAAAAAAAAAAAAAAAAAAAAAAGAAAGAGAGAGAGAGAGAGAGAGAGAGAGAGAGAAATGGGTGACCACCCATAGAAGAAGAAGAAGAAAAGGCTTTAAGGTTTTAAGTTTTATCTTTTAACTTTTACTTTCAGTTACAAGATATTTGAATTTATAAAATCATATATATTGAATACATTTCAATTTGTAAAATCCTTATTTAAATGTTTCAATTTATAAAATACTTATAGATAGTTGAAAAATAAAAAAATTATTATTTCAAAAGTTGTATATATTAGCCATGTGTTAAATTAACCTATGACATATTAAGTCTTACAAAATTTAAAGTGCCATAAATTTTTAAAAAAAATATATAAAAGTGAATTTATATATTTACACAAAAAGTAATTACTCTGAAATTAAAGGTATACAACATCCATCATCCTCAACACTAAACACCTGGATCTTTAAAGTGATCAGACAAACTCTTTAAATATTTGATATTATATATACCTCATATGGTCATATATTTTTAAGAATGCTTTCTTTTTGAATATATATAATTCTTAAAAGAATTTCAAGGTGTGTGTACATATATAATATTACACCAATAAGCATGAAGTGATGGACATATTTTCATGACAATAAATTAATAATAATAATAATTATTATTATTATTATTTGATAATATTATTATTATTATTATTATTATCATTATTTATAATAATAATAATTATTATTATTATTATTTGATAATATTATTATTATTATTATTATTATCATTATCATTATTATTGTTATTTCTCCAAGAAGCTGCCAGGAGAGAAAGGAGAACAAGCTGGGAACTTGATTGGAATAAAACTCTTCAGGTATAATCCAAGCTGGTGAAAGTGACTGGTAGTTATTCTTTACACTACTCACCATTTCTCTGATATAAATATTACTTTCTCCTCATCAGAATTCTGCAACCAATCTCTCTCTCTTACTCTCTCTCTCTCTCTTTTTTCCAAAAAGATATCATCAAAAATGGTTTCTCAAGCTTTTAACCAGCCTTCATGGCCATTCTACAATATCATAAATTCAAGTATTGATCAACTTGGCGATGACTTTTATGCTACTCTTATGGAAATGAATGAATTTTCTTCTTCATTTTCAACCCAAGAGGATTCCTCTGATATTTCTTCAATCCCTTGTTTTTCCAATATTTGCCCAACTGAATTTGCTTCCGGTACTGACGATTTCTTGCAACCCACTTTATCTGTGGAGGATTTCTTGCAAAACCCTACTTTTGGCGGAGAAATGGAGTTTATATATGGAAAATTGAACGATAGTGAAATCTCAAACGAATTTCAAAATGGATGGAGCCCAAGCCCTTCAATTAAGTCAAGCAGTGAAGCATCAATGGCTACACCACCATCATTAATTTTACCAGAGCAAGAATTTGAGCTTGATATCCTAATCAGTGTTCTTCACCTTCTCAAGGCTTATGGAGAAGCCATAGAGAATGAGCAGACTGATCTTGCAAATGTTATTATGACATGCTTAAGTGAGAAAGTTACTTTATGCGGTGAACCCTTATTGCGTTTAGCGTTTAACTTTTCATCACAGCAAAATCAGCATCAGAAGTATCTAAAACAAGAAGCTTACAAGAATTTTGAAACAGCTTTTAAGGCATTTTATCAAATATTCCTATATGGGAGATTTTCTCATTTTGCTGCAAATTCAGTAATTGTAAAAGCTATGCCAGCAGATGCTGAAATTATACATATAGTAGATTTTGACATTGGTGAAGGCGTTCAATGGCCTCCATTGCTTGAAGTCTTGGCAATGCTAGGCAAAGAAGTGAAATTGACAACAATAAAATGGGAGAAGTGTGATCAAACTCCTTTGATGTGGAATTTTGAGGAGGCCAAAAGAAGGTTAGTTGATTATGCTAAAGATTTAGGTTTAAGGTTGAAAATGGAGGAGATAGGAATTGAAGAGTTAGTGAATGAAATAAAGAAAAGAAGAAAAAGGGGAAGCACAAAAGAATGGTTAGTGTTCAATTGTATGGTAGGGCTACCACATATGGGGAGGGTAAGGAGTAGAAAATTGGTGAAAGAATTTCTGAGTGTAGCTAAAGAATTATTGATGGGTAGCAATAATAATAAGGGAGTTATAACTTTTGGAGATGGAGATTTTTGTGAAAGTTCAAAGACTAGTATAGGTTTTGGGTCATTTTTTGAAGGGAATATGGTCAAGTATCAAGCTCTTCTTGAATCAATAGAGTATAACTTTCCAATTCATCTTGGAGATGGTAGGATGGCCTTGGAATGTCTTTTTGTGGGTCCTTATGTATCTTCCCATGTTTGGTTACAAAGATGGATGGAGATAAAGGAAGGTTGCTGCGATTTTGAGATGGGGAGTTGCTTTGAAGGTTGCAGAATAAGCAGAGAAAGTATGGAAGAAGCTCAAGAAATGGTTAAAAGGAATGAAAGTTTTTATGGAGTGAGAGTTGGAGGAGAGTGGAATAATGAGATGATTTTGGAATGGAAAGGAACTCCCTTATTGAGATTTTCTGCTTGGAGAAATTAAAACTTAGCTGCAGCCAACAAGATACCATTTTTATTTTTTAATCAAGTAAATACTTGTATGAGAAACAAATTATACATTTTATATTATTCTTAATTTGTATAGATTAATTGCATTGCTGTAGAACTGTACAGAAGGGTAATGATAATAATAAGAAATATATTTTTAACTTCCCTAGTCTCATCGAAGCCTATCATTTTAAAGAGCAATGAAGACTTAACTACATAAATAAATTATAAACAAACTGTTTTCTTTTCAAGTTTTTGGCATGTGAGTCTGGTAATTTCCAGTATTCTTATGTAAATAATACCACATCGGACAAAAAAAAAAAAAAAAAAAAAAAAAATAATACCACTCGGACAAAAAAAAAAAAAAAAAAAAAGGCAACGCATAGAAGCATTCCCCGAAAAAAAAAAAAAAAAAAAAAAAAGCACGCATAGAAGCATTCCCGCTTCACGTACGTACGTAGAAGAGCTTATTTTTTACTCAGAAAACCAAGTAAATAAAATCAAACATCAGAAAGCTGGATAGGTCTTACCATTTACACTCAACAAAATCGAAAAAACATATAATGCAAAGCATCGGATCAATACAGCTTGTAAGTAATAAATATTTAAAATTGGTCATATAGTAAAAAGTATCCCATTCATTTGGTTACATCAACTAGAAACCAGAAACAGAGTCGTCCAAGCTACAGCACTTACCTCTCACACTATATAGAACAAATGCTGAAATTTCAAGGGCTTAAAAACCTAACTGAAATAAATGGAAATTTGAGGGATATCAATATCATTGTCTTCGTCGTCTTCACAAGCAACCACCACGTCAAAGTGGCGTCTATATGGAGGCATCTCTGCCTTGGCCACATCCCTAGCCAGATCAACCAACTTCTTGTCCATGCGATCTTTATGCCTAGGGAACATACTGTTATAAAGCAGACAGCTGCCGTAAGAGATGCTGTAAGCATTTAAACCCTTCTTCTGTAGCCATTCAAGAAGCTCTCTTAATGTTGGATTGTCCCTTAAAATCCACCTATCCCAAACTGTCCAGCTCATATCTTGATGCTTGATCACCTTAGGTGGAACTGGCTCGGCTATGGAGAAAAGAGGGAGTGCCAGGTTAGCAAAGCTGTTTCTGTAGTCCTCCAGTTTGTGTCCTTCATCCAGAACCTTATAAAGCTCCAAGCAAACAAGACCAGTAGCCATAGCAGTAGAGGTTGCAATTGCAGGAATGATCCTTCCAGCAATGAATTTAGCCTTGAGCTTATCAACTTCAGGGATGCCATAATTCCTTGCCCTCATGTTTGCAAGTCCAGCTATCAAGTCCATATGATAGTTTGTGTCGTCATCCTGCATATAGAGAAAATTAAAAGGTTAGACGCCATAATAATGCCCCCGACAGCTAGTGAGAGAATTCCCCTTTGCAAGGGTGGAATGAAAACTAACAAACTCCACCAATGGTGTATTATTAGGTTTGTAGTGATGAAAATTATCGTTTATCAATTGCCATGATAAAGAGCATCAAGTCAAACACCCATTCATCAAAATTAATCACTTATGGACAAAGAGAAGTCATTACTTGTGTTGAAGAGAAGAAATAGTTTTTGCATAGCAAGTAAATTATCAGAAGCACAATGAGTATACAAAAATATTTTGTTATGCCACTTCAAAATCCACTTTTGCAAAACAGGTAAACAATGTCGCCAAACATAAACTTACTAGTCTAGCAACCTGATCCACTTAGACACACAGGCCTACTCCACCTTGGAATATCACACTCTTGAAACCTATCTTAGTTGTTGCTAAAGTGAATAGGTTACTAATAACTGATGAATACACCCAGCCCCTGCTGTCCAAAGTCCACAATATCACAGACAAAAGCTATTTGCAGACAAGAGGGAGGTACAGTCATGTCCTTTTTGATTTATGACATACCTGAGTGTCCTAATCGATACTAACAAGAGCCAAAGCATACAAAAAATATATATATATAATCAATTAAAAATCTATGACGAACTAAAAACATCCAACAGCAAATTATTTAGCTATTGAATATGCAGCTGAAAGCTGAAAGCATCTATTCCACATGAAAAACAATTAGCCGAGTAAAAGGGAACAAACCTTCTCAAACTGAACAGGATTCATCCTAAAACCAGGCAATAACTGCTGGTGACATTTATCTAGTTTCACGATCAATTCTTCGATTACAATAGAATCGTCGATTGATGAAGGAGCAACACTTGTAGCTTTCTCATCAGTTTCAATCTTCACATTCTCCTTGGGCTGGAAATCAGGGACTACCACTTTGCTTACAGCATCAGCAAACTTCTTAGGAGACTTGACCCAATCAGGAACGGGAATGCCAAATGTTTCTGCACGCAAGATGGATGCTGCCATAACAAAATGGAGGTGACTCTGATCGTCAGTGGAAAATTGCAATGGGCGGGGGAAACGCTTGGGAGCAGACCAAAATGGAGTTCCGTTACTGGTTGTAGCATCCTCAGGAAACGTGAATGTCAATTGCTTCACACGGTTAACAAAATAGTCCTCAAATCTGACCATTAATAAATCAGAAGCCTAGTTAAGAAAATGTAAAGTTATTATGTGAATTATAACAAATGTAGGAAACAAAGAAGAGAAGTACTTAAGACGAGCCCAGGTGATGCAGTCTTGGAATTCTAAACATCTCTCTTTCTCAAGACACTCAAGAACACGCTCCAAATTGTCCCTTGCCTGTGCATCACCAGCATTCTTCATGGCAGACTTGTATTCATTTGGATTGCTCAGGTAGGCATTAACTTCAGTAGGTGTCTTCTCAAGCAAACCCTCGAACTCAGACCGAGCCCATGTCAAGCAATGATCTATGTTGTGCGGAAATGAGTGAACTGTGCACATAGGTGCTTGCTTTTCAGGTGGATCTCGTGAAGCACCGTAATTTTCAGTCAGGTGAGGAATAACCATCTGAGTATTGCACTTGGCACCAAGGGTTCCCGATTCTAGAAGGGGCTTCTGGAAATACAAGCATCTTCCATCAATGTAAAGCCTGGCATTTACATTGTCTAGAGCATTTATAACAACACTCAGATTCTCCCAGAATGTGTCATCAAAGACATTCTCAGTCTCAGGACTAGCACGATTCTGCAATGCTTCAATATTGAAGCGTGGATTAATCAAAGCAGCAGCAGAAGCCGCAACTGTTGATTTAGCCTGCCCAATATTCCAGTCCCGGAAGAGAAACTGCCTACTGAGGTTACTCTTTTCAATAACATCGTCATCTGTAATTGTCAGTTTACCTTTCACACCACAAGAGACCCCCATCAAAGCCAAATTCTTCAAGAATTCACACCCAAGAGCACCAGATCCTACCATAAAAATCTTAGCATCTTCCAATTTTTTCTGAAGCTTAGATCCAAAAACTGAAATTTGAGCATCATAACGGCTGTTTAAGGGCTTCAAGTCATTGGGATCCAAAGGTTCTGTGGGGAGGGATTCAACTGAGTCGAAGTAGAAAAACTGTCCACAAAGATAAGAAGATATCAGCAAGGCTATAATATAAACATAAAATAACACGTGCTGACTAAATTAATAGTTTTGAGACTGGCAGGTAACTACAGGAACCATGATAGTATTGAGTTTCTACTCGATTTACAAAAAGTCTTCCAGTAAACAGGAAATAGTGCAATGACCAAGCCTCAATGCCCCATAAAAAATAGAACATTAACATAGATAATTACCTGAAAAAGAGGGTGAAACTTCCCAGAGCAAGCCTTCACAACTTCCTGTCCAACAATACCACCAAACATAGCAGCCATGGGATTCAGCACAGCCCTAGAACCAAATGCAAAATGACGAAGAATTTTTGGGTTAATCTCTTCAAGTCTCCCATCTGTTGAGCTATCATTAATGTCAGTCACCAAAGATATGAATTTTTGGGCATCCTCCTCCGAACCAGCAACTGGAAAGCGTCCCAATTCTAAGATAAATTTATCCAATGCCTGAAACGCCAAATGTAAGAGAGGTGGACGATCGAACTTGGAGAAATCACTAAGAAGAAAATCCCCTGGATCCTTAAGTGCATAACGCAACGGCTTAAAGTTCAACACCTTAGGTTGCTTCACTTGAGTCACAATACCACCTTTCAAATAAGCACCATAATTTGTGGTGTCTTCCTCAATTTGGAATGAATAGGGCCTTGCATTTTTAACTGTTCTTGGCTTCCCATCATTCAATTCTGTCATTCCCTGAACTTCAGAGAAGACAACCAAATCTCCATCCTGAAACTCAAGCCTCTCATCATCCACACAACCTACAAGAGCAGGATTATCATTGCTGATGGAAGCAATGATGCCTGTATGTGGGTCCTCACCGTCAACATCAAGCACTGTAAACTCAGGGCCAAAGTCACAAAAGATACTACCAAAAAGACCCCTTACTTCAGATTTGATGAAGGCAATAGGAGGTTGATGATAGTGGCAGTAATCATCAAATTCAATTGCTTTATCTAAACTGATGTCAGTGAATACTACGGCCTGATAACCAGAAATTACACTCCAAAATTATTTAATGATAGAACATACATAACATATATAAATACAAGTACATAAAATATGTAAATATCATTTGGATATTTAAACATCATTTGCTAAATGACCATTAAAATTTGCAGCATAACATCTAAAAATGCAAGCATGCAAACCTTAACCAAGCTGCCGGCAATAATTTATATTGAACATAGAAACCAGATTCTAAAATGCGCAATATATACTTGCAGTTGGTAATCATTAACATACAAAAAACAGTAGAATAAGAAGTTACTACATATAATAATGTATACACAATTACAGAACAATAAACTGGTTATGGTAACTGTCTCCTTCAGAATCCTGCAAAATTGGCACCACTAAAAATGCTATCCATCTGAATTTTAAGAAGCTCATAAAGTCATTAATTCTGAACTATCAGAGAAGGAAGACACTAAAATATTTACTTTGGCATATATGATTGAAATGCAAGGTAATTAGCAAAAATCATTTGCACGGAACCAAACAAGTAACCGTATATCAAAATGCCGGCAAACTAATGCCAGTATCTAGATTATCATTCAATCGTGTCCTACAAAATAGTTGAGTATTACATCTAGTCCATTAAAAACATTAATATATAACCAATGGCCTTCATACATGCATTAAATTTTGTCTATAAAGAACTGATCTAGCAAATGCTTGCAAGAGATGTTCAATTGCCTATTAACAGCAAAAGATAATTCATTACTATCTAAGAATAAAAGAAATATCACCTGAAAATCAGACAATTGCTCCTTTGTCAATTCAGTTGTTAAAGTAGAAATCACCACAGAGTTGTTCAACTCTTGCAACTTTTGGACAGAAGCAAGGGCTCTATTCTTCCCCAAATCCTCTTCACTGAAAACAAAATTGCTGGACAAGTCCCACAATTCAACAACTCCCTCATCGTGCAAGGTCACTGACTTCACCCCAGCAAGTATCAGGTTCTTCGCTGCAAGGAATAGAAAATCCAACTACCAAAAATTAAAATTAATGCTGTGATCATTAAACATTCATCCATACTTATTATCCACCTATCATTCTACCGGTTAACCAGAATCAAATATAACCCGTGTGATCTAGGATAGCAGGGGTCCCCCGCTTGTTAATACTTCACAACCTAAATAACTTTCAGTTTATGTTTACATAAACCAAGATAAAGCAGCATGCAGTATCCCAAAATAAAACAAATAAAACCAAAACCAAAACAAAGTAAATTAATCTGTAAGATCCTACATACCAATCTCAGCACCAAGGCCTTGCAATCCCGATACAAGGATGTTAGAGGCAAATAGCCGCCGCATGGTCTCGCGGCCGTAAACAGCAAGCTGACGGCTGTGAAGATCCTCATCAATGTCCTGCGAGTTCCCGTTACCCAAAGTCATTATCGGCGATTCAACTATGCCACGACTGTGATTATTGTTGACGTTGTTAGTGCGGGTGGTGGTGGCGGCAGCGGTAGTATCGGGAGCAGATGTGGTGGAGTCGGTGCTCTTAATATTCCCCGTGGTTTCGGTTGATTCAATACTGGCCGCAGCCGTGGAAAGAGAATCGATGCGAGGCTTCTTGGTGAGAGATTCGGTGGCGCTACGGATTGGTCCTTCTTCTTCTACAACAACCTCTCCTCCACCAGCTCTCTTGCTAGGAAGCATATAGTGCGGTGAACTGTTCACATCCAATGCCATTTTCGTCAAAATTATCGGTTAAAAACTCTAAAAACAAATCTAATATTTAAATATTCTCTCGGTAGTTCAGAAATTATTAGCAATTTATAAATTTAATTAATAATTAACAGCTTTATATCGACGCAAAGTTATTTAGAGAACCAAAAACTTAGTTTCTTTCGTCTTTTCGCTTTTTCTCGGAAAGCAAACAGGAAGTAGCAATCTAAATTACAGATTCAGGTTTTTAAAAAGAAAAGAAACATATAAGTGCAAGCAAGGGGAAGTTTACAGGGAGACGAAAGAGAAAGATAAAGAATATACCGAGTAGAACAAGAAAAGAAAGGAAGCGGGTGCGATCGCTAAGAGTAGAGATGAGGGCGAATGGGCTGCGTTTTAGGGTTTGTACAAGCTCGATGAGATTGAGATTTATGCGATGATGGTCAGGTGGGTAGGTTCGTCTTTGCAGGGAGAAGCCAGTGATAAAGAAAGTGCAAATCATACCCTTTTCAGACTATGTTTGGTTGCGTGGCTTATCTTGCTCCTTTGGAGAATTGACCTTGCAGACCATTTGTTATTGAATAAACTATTCGTTAATTAAATAATGCAAGTCACTCATATTGTCGTATACTTTATATTACAAAATTTTTTAAGATATTTCAAATTTTCACGGTAACCATTTAACACTTTAATTTATAAAATTATAACTATTGAAGATTTAATTTTTTTTTAATTTTTCTACAAAAAATTTTAAATTGTATAACTAAATCAATTAAATAGCTATAAAATTAAGAAAAAATATAAAAATTATTGTTTCGTATATTAAAAAAAATATTTTATATGTAAAAACCAAAAGCATTCAAAATTACTATTATTGTTAGTATGTGAAGAGCACAGTTACTGAAATTCATAACTTTTAGGAGCATAATATGCATCCCGCAAAATTTAAAGTGTCATGTTCAACTCATTTATTCATGCAAAAATTATTTTGGAGTTTTCAAAATTATTCCAAACACCAATATTTACCAACTAAGTATTTATATGATAGTCTATTTGTTCTTGTTAGAATAAAATGATCATAGTATATCTAAATCTGATCTTAATATATCTTATTCTATTCTTAGTGTATATGAGTTTGATTCTATTTTTTCCTTTTTGTACATAACACCTATATAAATGGTGTTATATAATGTAAATCATACAACAAAAACAATATAAATTCCTTCTAAGTCAACTGTTCTATATTTAAAAATTTGGAGAGGATAGTTAAATAAACAATTAAATTATCTACATTACGAATAGAATATTACTTAATGTACTTACTTTTTTTTTTTTTAATGGAACTTAATTTACTTAAAGTATTCTTTATCTTGTCTAATTTACTTGAACTGACATAATTTAAAAAAATATATATAAACTTTTTTAAAAACAACAAATAATTTTGAATAAAATAACTTCAAAATACACACGATAAAAATAAAAGAAAATAAATTTAGAGAGTAAATATTATATTTAAGTTGTCATTAATCAAAATTATATATCTCATAGCAGTAAATTGTTTTACATATAATATTATAATTTTGAGAGTGTAATTAAATTTAAAGATTCTAACTATAAAAAATATAGGAAAATGGAAATGTAATAGTATTTCAATCTAGTGTAAAGTGTAGAAGAAACGTGCCTTTTTCTTTTTGAAAGGATTATGTATTCATTTTTTAACTTCAAAGCAGATTCTCAGTTTCAAACTCCAATTTGGCTACAGACGCTACTGGAAATGGAAATTTGAAATGTTGTTATAGTTTTATAGGATATCACATGTAAGGTGCCGACATTTGTCTCCAAACAGGAACCGCATTAATATTTTAAAGACTGCAATACCAACTTCCAATTATTATAAAATTTAATTCTTCAAAAAATTAGACAATAGTGCAATTCATTTCAAGTTAAAGTTTCTTTCTACGTACACATTATGATATGATATATTTAAAATTTAAAAATATTATTTTACTTCTTCATTAGCTTGGGCTGGAATTCTCGTGTAATTGCTCAAAAAATCAAACACTTATAATCCGTTGTGACGTGATTAATTTTAATTTATATCTGTACTGTGGACATAATTATAGTTTAATTTTAAATTGGAATTGGACTGAATCGAATAGATTAAAATCAATATCAAATTGTAATAAACGATTCCGAAACCAGCAATTTCAAAATCGTCTTAAAAATTGATTTCAATTCTACTCTTTTTATAATTTTGAAATCATAGACATATCTACCGAGCATGCCCACGAAGAGAGCAAACATTCATTCATGAATATTAAAAAAAGACTCCAATTAAGAGAAAAATTATCCTTACCATCTAATTTTACCCTTTAAGAGCAAACTAATAGCCTTTTTTAGATTTGGCAGCAGGTCAGTACCTGCTTAAATTGCACTATTCAAAATTGACCATAAATTGTGTATTTGAACCATCCTAAAACCATTTGAAAATACACTTTTATTACCAAAACCTTATTACAATTACATGCTTAAAGTACTGAACCCATTTAGCATTAACATATATTTTATTTTTAAGAATAAAATAAGTAAAAATTATAAATTATGTTTTGGCTTAATAAAAAATATAAAATCAATATTAAATATATTTATAGTGTAATTAGCACGATGTATATGTTGTGCGGTGCCCACTCAAATGGGACCCATAATAAATTTAAAAGAAAGATAAAGGAAGTCAAAAATGAAAGGCAATGGAGTTACATGACATTCCTATGCGCAGTCAAAAATGGAAGGCAATGGAGTTGTACACAGCATTCCTACGCGTTAACCTGCCTATAAATAGAGGCAGAGGCAGCACACAAACATACACACCACCAGTAAGCAGAAACACAGCAAAAATGTAGATCATTAAATGAGAGAGCAATTGTAAGAGAGAAAAATAGAGAGATTATCCAAGAAGAAAAATTAAGCCTAATTTTTCACAGCATTCCTACGCGTTAACCTGCCTTATATAAAATAGGGCCCAGAGGCAGCACCACAACATTAAACAACACACCAGTAGCCGGAAAACACAGGCAAAATGGGTTAAGATTTCATTTAAATGAGAGAGCAATTTTGTAAGAGAGAAAAATAGACTGAGATCGTATCCAAGAAGAAAAATTAAGCCTAATTTTTTCCGGGTATTTCTTGGATAGAGGATTGGTTGAGTTGTATGCGAACACGTTATTTATTTTCTCTCCTATTTAAAAGATCTGCTGGCGGTCCTGGAAGACGTAGGCCAATATTGGTCGAAACTCCCGTTATCAAAATTGTGTTTTGTTTTATTTTTCTCTTTCGCTCCCTCATCTTGACTTATCGAGGAATTTTGCGTATTTTTTTTTCCCAAACAACTTGGTATCAGAAGCCTTATTCTCGGACAGAGGTCCAGCCAGTTCAAAATAGTGGCTACCGGAATTCGTGGATATATTTCAAAAAAATAACTATATCACGATGACGAGGAAAATTTACTGATGAGTCTATTGGTGGCTGTTTCGCTCGGAAAAGTCGTGCCAGAATCGACTAGTGATTGGAATAGTAAAAATTAGTAATTCAAAAGTTGATTTTTGGTGAACAGTACTATTGGTGTTACTTGTTGGTTTGAGCACCTATTCACATCCATAGTGACTATTTACTGCTTGTACGATTAACTATTCAACATATTTAATACTATTTACGTTGTATGGTTACTATTTACGGCCATACTGTTACTATTCACAAGCTACTTATTTCAATGTATACTAAGGGGCGGGAAGTTTCAAAGACTCGAAGGAGAGCAATGGCTGCAGATTGAAGGAAAGTCGAAATTGAAAAAATTCAACGGTGCAGATTTTGGCTTTTTTGGAAAATGCAGAGGATAGAGGATTATCTGTATCAGCATAGGTCTTTCAAACCTCTTTCTCCGGAACGAAGCCAAGAGGCATATGAGGAAGAAGAATTGGAATCTGTCTAGACAGAGACAAGGCACTCGGGGTTATTCATTTAACCTCTCTCACAATGTCGCCTTTCAAACATTTTAGCAAAAATGAAAAGACTAGGACGATGGGACATAAACACAGTGGTCGCCATCGGGGACTCAGAATCAGATGGGCCAGTGTTTTGGCAGATGTGGACGATATCTGAAGAAAAGTTCCAGTGGCCAGCAAACTCAGAACAGAGTGGGCCAGTGTTTTACAGAGGTGGAATAAATCTCCGGAAAGTCCAGTGGTGCCAGCGACCTCAAAGTACGAGTGGGCAGGTTTTGTAACGTCCCATTTTTCGTATTTGAATCGAGTAGTTGTTGATTGGCTGAGGTCGAGTTCAGAACTAATCCAAAAACCCCGGTTCGATGCTTATTTTAGAGTCCAAATTGGGGTAGAATGGGATGTAACTGAAATAAGGAAAGAAAGTGAACTTACTTGAAGGAACCAAAAAAGATTCAAAGTATTAAGGATTAGGACTTGCTTGCACTGAAAATATGTTAAAGTTGAGGTAATTGGAGTTGTACCATTGTGACCACTTGAGGTACCATTGGTAAATTTTCACACAAAAATCCCATGAGTATTTTTGGAGGATTGTACCCGTGAGTTCCATTTCATTTCATTTCTTCATCCTTTATCTTCATCTTCTTCCTCTACTTTCCTTCTTTCCACCCTTCCTTCTCCATCCACTTTTTAAATGGAGGAAGATTTAATGGGGAGTTTTAAAGGCATTAATTCAACTTCTATGTCTATTCCAAGTAAATAGTTAAACCTTCTTGAATTTCATAATTGAAATCCATTGGTGATTATTTTTAGATGATTCATAAAGAATTCTTATGTATAGGAGAAGGTTGAGCTCAAGCGTTAAAAAGGAAGCTAAAGAAGAAGATTCCCAAGCTTGTGTTAAAGGTTGAAAGGTGTGTTTTATCCTTCTTTTAGTTTAATTCATTTTCCTTACATGATATTAATTTTGTTTGTTGATTGTGTTGGAAAAATGAGAAGATATGTTTGCGCTTAATGTGACGTGGAAAGAAGACTGAATAATGGTGTTGAAAAAAAGCATGAGATGAAGATGAATAAATGAAGTAGATATTTTGAGTTTTTAATCCTGAAACAGGTTTTTTGCTGGGAAAAGTAACCAGTTAACTTCCACTATGAATTTTGGACCCTTATGTTTTAAATGGATGGAATTAGGCAAGTGTTCAGTTAGAAGAGTTTATTTGTTCCTCTATGTGTTAGCTTTCCCATGGTTTTTGAATCACCCAAATCGGCGAGTTGGTTAAATTGAGAAGATATGACCAAAATAGTACAGACTGCGCAGGCTGGAAAAAACACGACGCGCGGCTTCGCGAATTTCATTGGCCTTGCGCTCAGCGGAATTGTGCCTTGGTATAAACTCTCTGACTTCTCATTTTTGCCTTTCTCGCGCTCGGTTTGAATTTCATTGCGCGCTCACGAATTTTGGCCTGTAAACTCACTGACCCTCATATGTCTCTCAGC